TCTTATTATTGCTATTATTATTCATGTTTTTATTTTCTCCCTCTTTCTTATTACTAATGATTTTATTCATATTCTTTCTTTCTTCATTTTCTTATTATTAATGATATTATTGCATATTTTTCTCCTTTTTTCTTTTATATTGCTGATATAATTCACAGGTATTTTGTTTTCTTATTATTTTGATTGTCTGAATATTGATTCATATTTTTACTTTGCTCTCTGCTTTCCATTATTGAATTCATAATATTTTTTCTCATTATCAATAATACACTTTTTCTTATTCAAGATTGCGCTGAATGAATTCTTTCCGTTGTGTTTCGTTTGTCTCCTTTTGTTCTTATTATTGCTATTCATTGTAGTTCGATGATAATTTTTTTTATCTTTACTCGCCTTTCTTATCTCATTAATAGATTGGTTATTCATCATTTCTTGACTCCCCGTGGTTTTTTCTTATTATTGGTAATATTATGTCTAATATTTTTGTTTTTCTTTCTCTCCCTTTCTTATTATTGCTATTCGATTAGTGGTTAGTCGAATTTTTATTTATCTCCGCTTGTCTTGTTAGTAATGAGTATTTATTCATATATTATTCAACTGGGTTCTTTTATTACTTGTTGGATAATTATTCCTTTTGATTTATCCTTTTTTAATAATATATAGATAAAAAGCTGGATATTCATTCCATGATTTTTAAGTGTTTCTCCTCTTTTCTTACTTGATTGATTCATATAGTTTTCGCCACTCTTTTTCTGTATATTGATTGTGGCTTGATAGTGTATTCACCGTTTTTCTTTCTCGCGCTTTTTTCCTTAATTGATTGCGGCATATTATTTATTACGCTATGAATTGTGTTTTCATCTTCATCCTTTTTATTAGTTAATGATGATTAATTCATAATTTTTTTCACTCAGATCATTCTCTTATATATTGCTTATACATATGTATTCACAGTCTGTTTACTTTCTCCTGTGTTATTTCGTTATTTGATTACTGATGTATATTCATATTTTTACTTTTCACGCTCTTTCTTATTATTAGATGATAGTTTAGTTGCAGTATTTTTTCTTTCTGTCTTTTATTCTTATTATTAAAATGGAAATATATCTATTGCCTTTTTCCTTTGTTTTCTTTTAATTGGCTGATGAATAATTTCACTGGAGGTTTTGGTTTTCTTATTATTTACTGGTTGGATTTAATTCAATATTTGTTACTTGTTCTCTCTTATTTGCTTATCTATTAGCATATATTTTTCACTCCTTTTTTTGCTTGATTATTACTGGGGATATTATTCACGTTTTTCTTTCTCCTTTTTTCTTATTATTATATAGATATTATTCATATTTGTTATCTGTTTTCCTTTTGTGCTTGCTTATTATATGATATTGGTATTCATCTATGTTCTTTCTCCCGCGACTTTGTTCTTTACTATTTGTGATGATTAATCAATATTTTTTATATTTTTCTGCTCTATTTTTTCATAGTTAGTATCATGATATTTTTTCACTCCTTGTTTCTTATTATTGGCTATAGTTTTACTTTCTCCTCTTTCTATATCATTAAATGTATGAGTTATGATTGTCATCATGTTTTTTCACTCCTTTTTCTAATTATTGTTGATATTATTCATATCTTTTTCTCCTCTTTTTTGTTATTAATGATATTATTCATATTTTTTCCTCTTTTTTCTTATTATTGCTGATGATATTATTCGCATCTTTTCTCCGTTTTCTTATTATTGGTAATATTCACGATTTTTCTCATTTTCTTAATGTTACTGATATTATTCATATTTCTCCCTTTTTTTCTTATTATTGATAGAAATTATTCATTTTTTCCTTTGTTTGGATTTATCTTTTTGTAACTCCTTCTTTCTTATTTACTTTCTTTCACTCTTTTTATCTTGTCTCCTTTTTCTTATTATTCCTATTATTCACTTTCTTTTTACTTCCTTCCTTGTTTGGATTTATTTTTTTCTCTTGCAACTCTTCCTTTCTTCTTTTCTTCTCTTCCACTTTTTTGTTTAATTTTGTTTATTTTCCCCCCTTTTCTTCTTATTATTGTTGATATTATTCACAGTTCTTATTTCTTCCTTCCTTCTTTGAATTCATTTTTTCTCTTGCTACTCTCCCTTTCTTGTTTACTTTTCTTCCACTTTTTTTTTATTTGATTTATCTTTTTCTCCTTTTTCTTCTTATTATTGATATTATTCACCGTTTTTTCTCTTTTCTTCTTCCTTCCTTTGGATTTATTCTTCTTCTTGCAACTTTCTTTCTTTCTTCTTTACTTCTCTTCTTGTCTATCTTTTTTCTCTCTTTCTTGTTATTGTTGATATTTTTCTTCTTCCTCTTTTCTTATTTACTTCTCTTCCACTTTTTATTTACTTTTTTGTTTTTTTGTTCCTTCTTGTCTGTGTTACACGTACGGGACTTCATCTCCTCTCTTCGTATTTGTTTTTCTTTCTTGTTATTCTCCTTCTTCGTTATTCTTTTAACTCTTCCTTTTTGCATTTCTTCAATTTTATTTTTGTTCTCTTTATCTTCTATGCGGTATTTCAGCTTTTACGTATTATTGTTATTGTTATTGTTATTCATCGTTTTTTCCCTGTCCTTCATCATTTTTTTATACTTCCTCTTTCTCTATTTTCTTCAAGCCTTCCTGCATTATTATTCTTTTTCTTATTCCTCTTC